GATATTTTCACGGTGGGAAATAACACACGGATAAACTGACGCTCACCTGGATTCAGAACACTGCATTAAGTTAATGACCCATTAACACTGGTCAGACTGTATAGGACTAATCCGTAGCAGCAGAGAAAAAGAAAACTCCCGACTGAAAAGAAAAGACTTGCTTCAAAGTCATGACTCAGGCTTGTAAACAACATTTCATCTTGATGTTCACCAATCCCCGTAATAGTTCCCATTTTTTTCATGCACCTCTTTGAAAGCTGTAAAGATTTCCAACCCCTCTGATGCAAACATCTTTTTAGTCAGTAGTTTTCTATTTCTCTGCTGCTACAGATTAGCCCTATACAGAATTACCAGTGTATAATGGGTCATGAACTTTATCCTTTTACCTGTGTGTTATTTCCGACACTGACACGAAAATATCAGGTGAAGGCTGAAGCAAATCTACTTTGCTTGTTGTTTACTTGGTTCTATGAGTAACACAGTCTGCACGGTGTCACACCTCCAGACATAATGAAGAAACTGTGGCACAAACAACTCAAGAACACGAACGTTTATGTTGACACATGTCTTTCATTAGTCATTGCTGTAATAAAATGAAAGTTAAGCTTGATCATAAAATCCAGAGCAAAACAGGCTTCCTCTTCCTCGACCTGTCTGCTATGTAAAAGATCAATTCAAAGACTCCCTCCGATGAAAATCAAGTTTTTAACATTGGTTGTTTCTTATATAATACAAGACATATCAGGGGCAAAATAATCAGTCAACACCATGACTGAGTATTTCCACCTTGAATTGCAGTGAACCAATGACACTGTGTCAGCTACTGCCGGTTACAAGCTAACAAACAACATAAACAAATAAAAGATGCTAACTACGCTAACTGTTCTGATCCGTCTGCTAGTCTCTGGTTCTGGTCTGAACTGACTCCTCATGAGTCTGGCTCTGACTGAGGCTCAAACATGTGGCTGAGTCTCTCTGATGTTTCCTCCTCTAACTGTCTTAATGCTCTCTGCTCTTTCACCTGACCACCTGGAGCAAGCAGGTGGTGGGCGGGGCACAAGGCCTGATCCAGATTCCTCAACGAGGAAGTAAGAGTAGAGGAGTTTCCAGCCCAAGTTTTCTTTTTTTTCACCTTTTATGTGGGAAAACCACGTTAAACAAAACATTAATCCTAGCAGAGTATTTTTTACATAGCTTAAAACATGTCTGGAGGGGAACTTTAACCTACAAAATATGTGTATATACTGACCTTTGACAGAGGGCTGATGGAAGGTATTGAGCCACTCATTACTTTTACTTTGGAGCTGCTCTTGGTAGCTAAACACATGTGAAAGTGAGATGTTACAGAGAGAGTTTGACAGTCTGACTGTGTGTGTGTAAATGTTTGGTTTCTCTGTGGATCCGTGCCATCATCCTCAGGGTGATTGGTGGCTGGCCATCCCGGCCTCCTATATTTCATCTGGGTGCTGGGCACCTTCTGCCACTGCATTGAGTTTTATAGGGGCCAATAAAAATCCCTTTGGAGCAGGCCTACAGCACTGGCAGCTAAATAATGATTACAACAACATAAGCTTTAGTGATACCAAACAATTAGAGGGCAGAGGAGATTGGATAGTTCACATCCATCACTCAGCTATAAGCCTGTATGTCAAAACAATGTGGCTATTTGCTAAAGGAGATTATTCCTGAGAAGAAATACAATATATGTTTTGGGTTCAGCTCAAATGTTAGAAATTACAGTCTGGAGTGGGAACAATGTGAAACCTGTGTCAGAGGCCCTAAAAAGATAAATACACTGGATGAGATATAAACCCTGTCCAGGAGGATCTGTGAGCCAGCTCCCCAGCTCCCCAGCAGACACCAGGGCCAGCAAAACAAATCAAAACACAGTGTAGTCCTCGTCTCTGAATAAACAGTGCGGTGTTACGGGTTGTTTATTGAGGTGTTGCAGCTGCAGCTCTCTACTTTCCTGCGCCAATCCTCAGAGAACAATGTGAGGATGTGATTATTTTTGATAATCTCAAGGTAAGCTGCCAGGCTTTGGCAACCCTGGGCTGTATTACTGAGAGGAAAACCTCAAACAAGAAACAAAGAGTTCTGCTCTACAATGCCCCAGTGCTGTACAATCATTATAAACCACTGCCTGAATCTCATCATGTGATTTCTCTGAAGTATATTCTCCATTTTGTAGAATTAATCACAAGTAATTCACCTTTGACCAAACTATTTCACCTCAAGATCCATTTAGCATCTGTTTCTGGAGTTTTCGATCCTATGACTGACTTGGCTAACGACAGGGATGAGTGTCTATGTGTCATTACTGAATCATGACTTGTGCTAGGTTTCATTTTGGAAAAAAAAAGGAAGATGAATAAGTTTTGGAAAACAAGTTTTCAGTTTCAGTTGCAACTCCTTAATATTACCAACAGAAAAACTTGAACCAACACTAGATTGAACCAAAGGTTAGTAAGAAAATAAAGAAAAGAATCTGCTAAAAGCTCCACATTTGTGTAGCAGCAATAACATTACGGTAAAAATAAACAGAGGAATGACTAAGAAAATCCAAGGACAGAGACTGAGCACACTGTCTCATTGAAAAGCAACAACACACATACTGCCACCAGCTGACCAAGGGGGTGAGAGGTCATAGATCAGAGGTCAGCTACAGAGCAGCACCCCCAAAGAGAAACTCTACAGAGCTGATTTACAGCACTGACCACAAATCAAGGTGGCTCAGCAGCTTTAAGGACTTCTGCACTAAAGCAGATTCATCACACTGTTTTAAAAACCCATTCCCAAGCACACTGCAATTAATCCCACAGAAGGCATGGCAAAGTAAATGGGCCTCATCTTTTCCACTTATTCAAGGCTAGGGGGCCCCCTGGTGGTCAAAATGGTTTAACACATAAATACGTAACCTGCTCCCTCCACTAACAAAGGGACTGAGTTATTTTTAAAAAGTAGACAGTAGAAACCAATCAAAACCCAAACATAAGTCACTGGTTCTAAATTGAAATACTTGTTTTACCTGAGTTATCGTAAGCCATCCTGGTTCCTTCCACCTGAGACTGAGGGGGGCGTTCTGTAGGCTGTCGGTCAAGGGGGACCCATGAGATTCAGTGCACCCTAAAGTAAGACAGCAGACAAAATGGTATCATCACTGCTTGGTTTCACAACCACCACACACACAATAAGGACTTAGATACACTGTTCATTTTACATAACTATGTACCTGCTATACCTTATTGTCACAGTATCAGGAGCTATAAATACATAACCTACAACAACCCAGTAGAATGAATGGTTAATAAGTTAGAAGCTTAGAATCTGTTGAAAGTCCATTAGCCTGAAGAGCCTTGTCAATATGTGTGATCTTGGTCAATTGTGATCTAGGGAGAAGTTTGCCTCAAAGTCTTTCTGGAAGAAAGCATAGGTCAAACATAATACTTTCACCCAGCAGACTGGGGTTCATGTCCCGGTTTACTTTTGGGAATTTGTTAACTTAGTCTTTTTCTTTATATTTACTTTCAGTTTTCATTCGCAGATTGGTTAGCTTTAGGCACCAAACGTACTTGATTTTAATAACGTTGCCTTTCTGGCAGAAAACCGTCTTCAACTTGATATTAAAGAACTTTTATTTTTTGTAATAGGACTGAGAGAGAGAGAGAGAGAGAGAGAGAGAGAGAGAGGGAGGGAGAGCGAGAACATTAGCTAGCTAGCTAACTAACATTACTAACATTCGCTAATTAAGTTAGCTAGACAATAAGACGACATTAAAACTTTTGTGGTGCGATGGGACCGTTCATTTAAGTTAAGTGGATGGGACACAAGAACTTGACTATATGCCATCGATTCCCACATTACAAGCGAAAGGTATCAATGGCAATTAACTAACTTTAACTAGCTAGCTAGCTAGTTTGTGCGTTTCAAGCTGCTAAATAGTTCTAGCATAGACAGACCGAACCTACTTGCCAAACTGTGTCAAATTCTTAAAGTGCATTAATATAGAACGAAAACTAGAAGTATGTTTATACTTTGGCCACATACCTGGTGTCTACCTGTAACTCATCACAATGACTGAATCACACTGAGGGTGTTCACACCGTCCTGCGGCGGAGGGAGGGTAGAGGGCATCACCTGAGACCACCAATCCCCTGACCTGATATTTTGATATTTTGATTTTGATTTTTTTATATATACATATATATTCACTTGCAGCCAGGACAGGATGTGCGAAAACAGGACTTTATGCATTTATTTGGAAAGAAAAAAAACTTTCTCTTCGATGTTCAGGCCTGTCTATGCTCAATTCCCCATGGAGGTCTATCTATGCACGTGTTAGATTTTCCTAGTGAATGAAAGACCTAAACAGTAAAGTGTGATGGTGGAGGATTTTTCACAATCTAGTAACCCAAAGTAGGTTTTCATTAATGGCTTATAAATAATCTATACAGCATCAGTTAAAAAATTAAACCATTCATTTCAGTTTATAAAACCCTTTTTAACATTTTCTTTTGTTCGATTTACATTATATTTTAAGTCTGTTTGATGTTGTATTTATGGTAGTCATGCTCTCCGCTATCCTATCATGAACTCCTGTTTTTTAGATGCCTGTTTCAAGGGAGCAGGGACGATTACTGCAACCTGCCTCTGTTTGGCGCTACAAAGCACTGTACGCCAAAACAGCCAGAAACGACAATAATTTTCAGCACGCTATGTCACTTGTTGTTCCCATATATGTGCATCTTTTTTTTTTAACTTACTGGCTTGCACATAACAGTCACAGCCTATGTATATTTATTTATGAATGCTCAGATTTCTTGTCTTTGTTTTATCTGTTGAACATTATTATAAATATTAGCCACTAGAAACCATTCAAATTCTTTGTAAGCACAAACATACTTGGCTAATTAAGCTGAATCATATTTTAAACTTTTGTTTTCAAAAAAGAAAAATAAATAAATAAATACCATGATAAATATATAAACAAAGAGGCGCGTCTCGATGACGTCGCCGCCTTCGTTTTGTTGTGTCATCATTACGCGCCCCACAGAAAGCTCTTTAAGCGGTAAGTTTTCTATTTTTACGAACTATAACGTTATATTTCTCTCTTATTTAACGTTTATTTCTTCTTTCTTGGCGCGTATTTGATGTATTTAGAAAGAGACTATTTGTTAGCTGAGTGTGGAGGCGTCAGGCTCAGCGGTGGCGAAATTTTTTGTTGATTCATCTCCATTTGTGTTTAGTTATGTAAAGAATTACTCTTAACTAACGTAAACCCAAACAACCAAAGAGGATAATAATAATTATGATGATGATAAAGGAGTTTAATTCTAACCTTAGCCGTTAGTTATCTGTTGGACACGATCTTATGTCTTTATTGAGTCTCTTTCACTTTCACTGACACATCCAGTCGCAAGTGACCAAGCAGATCTGTGGTTTTCATTTCGCATATTTAAGATCTTTTACTGATGTAAAAATGAAAACACCACAGTGAAGAAATCCTTTGTTACAAGTAGAAGTCATGCATTCAAAATATACTTATAGGGAAGTACAAAAGTTTTAGCTATATTTTACGCAACAAGTATACCTAACGTGCTCACTATGCACAATGGCCCATTTCAGAGTAATGTATATTATTTTATTGGATTATACAGTGAGTTGTCAGATTATTAGGTACACTTGGCTAAAACTAATGCAACAGGCCTCCAGTAAATCCTCCTTCATTATGGTTATAATGTTGAGTTTTTGTTTAAACTGTTTTAGAGAGATTATACAAAGAGATGTTGCTGTTATTTAGCCTATCCTCATGGATATAAAAGTGGATGGACGAAATAATAAGAACACCTGTCAGCTGATTACAGTCCAACAGCACTGCAAAAACTAAACACTATATGCATGAAGGAGAATTTATTGCAGGACTGTGTTGGTTTTAGTTCGGTGTTCCTAATAATGTGTACATCAGTTAACTGTTGCAGCTAACAGAGGTGAAGCTAATACATCATAAGTTATTCAATTTTTATTTTTTATATATTTAATATATATTTGTTAAGTGGAGTAAAATGTACATTATTTTTTGCCTGCCGTTAACAATGATTTTCATCATCAGTTATCTGCAGATGATTTTCTCAATTAATCAGTCAGTAGTTTGGACTATAAAATGTCAGAAAATGCCACAAGGGGAAGTCTTCAAATGTCCTCTGTTTGCCCAAAATCCTCCTTACACTAGAGGAACAAGCCTGTTTTTGACATATTTGCTTTATCAATAACTCCAACTAGTGATTCATTACTGATTTATTTTCTGTTGATTAACTAATTTATTAATCAACTAATTATGTCAGCTCTACAATATTGACAATCAGACTTGTTTATATTTGTTTTCCACAGCTGCACAATTTGACTACAGTCTCCAGCAATGGTGAGTCCACTTGACTGTTTGATGTTGAGCTGTATTTGTATCGATCATGTGCTTCTTTCCGTCTTTCCGTAACTGCTGATGTCCTCAGTGTTGAGCAGGTTGAGAGGGTTCTCATGGTCTGGTGCTTTGACCTGGGATTGGTGGATGATAACAAACAATATTTTTAACATGTTGATGCTGCATAAAACAGAGGCTGTGTTCATTTCAAAAACACGATGTGTGTCAGTAAGGTGCTAGGCCACCACAGGCCTCCAGAAGATATTCACTTATTAGGTGTTTTCATTTTTGTCTAACACGTTGCTCTAAAATTGCTATTACTATTGCAACCCACTTTGACCAATGCCTGATCTGTCGGTCATGTTCTCTTAGCAGCTACTGTACTGTTAAACACAGAAGTTTGGAGGTAATGGTGAAAACATTCAAGGGGATTTTTAAAGGTTAAAGCCACATGTTCTCATTGAAATTTTAAGACATTTGTAGGAGAAGGTATCCTAATTGTATATTAATTATTCAGAGCTCTCTAGTCTGTATTTCAAAGTTAAATAACTCGACTGATCAGGTTTCCCCTCTCTTCTGTTTCCTTACAGTCCCGTCGATATGATTCCCGAACAACCATCTTCTCACCAGAAGGTAAGAGTTACTGAATAATGTCACTGATGAGACTGCAAGCTGTTCAGGCTGTGAAGATTTTTTGGTTTCTATTTTATGTCCCCCTAATTTTTTTTGACAAAGGCATCTTGGCGCTCCAATTTTTGCCTGTTAGTTCTTGCATCCTCATCCTGACAGCGCCGTGTGTCTTCTGCAGGGCGTCTTTACCAGGTGGAGTACGCCATGGAAGCCATCGGCCACGCCGGCACCTGCCTGGGAATTTTAGCCAACGATGGAGTGCTGCTGGCCGCTGAGAGGAGGAACATCCACAAGCTGCTGGATGAAGTGTTTTTCTCAGAGAAAATCTACAAGCTGAATGAGTGAGTTACTTCTTCTTGACTCTTACTGTTGTGTTTTAGTGTCATTAGTCTGCAGCGTGCAAATCTTTAAAGTTTACAGGTTTACAACTTTAAAAGAGTGGTAAGTTCTTCATGACTTTCATAAACTTGCATTATTTGACATATTTGTACCCCTGCTTACATCAGCCTGATCAGGTTATCACAGACAAGAAAACTGTATTTGCACTGATCCTAAATCTCCCCATGACCTCACAGGGACATGGCGTGCAGTGTGGCGGGAATCACGTCAGATGCCAACGTACTGACCAACGAGCTGAGGCTCATAGCACAGAGGTGAGCTCTGACACTGAAGCTGAGCGGCACAAGGTCATGCTTTGTTTTGTTTGTTGCAGGTGGATTGTCCTCCAAAAGGACAAACATTAGTTGATGTCACGATGTGTGTGTTTGTTGCTGTTAAGGTACCTGCTGCAGTACCAGGAGCCAATCCCCTGCGAGCAGCTGGTCACAGCCCTGTGCGACATCAAACAGGCCTACACCCAGTTTGGAGGTACAGAGCAGCAACGCAACGTTAAAGCAGGCTCACGATGATACGTCTGTGCTGTCCTGCTAAAAGATGTTAATGTGCTGGCGGATGAGAACCTTCTGTTACTGCGTTCAGTTCTCTCTTTCATGCACAGGCTAGTTCAGGTTACATCCTGATCACGTCTACAGTAGCAGAATTATTCTTTTAATTTTTTTGCAGTTGGAGTATTTGTCTGAGCTTTTCACTTTTTATTTTCTTCAGTCAGCAATTTGTAAATCAGCCGCCATCTGTCGTCTTTTTTTAAGTCTTGCACTTGGGAATGCTTGGCCTTCTGTTTCAACACAAGTTTCCATAGTTGTTAATTTGATGCTGTGATTCAAAATAGGAATTATTATCATTAGTTTTAACTATTTGATTTGTTTTACTTTATTCTTTACCCTCAAAAAACAAAAAGTGGAGAAGCTTACTTATTATTACTGACTTTATTTTAATCTCATCTCTGTGAATCCTTAAGAAAGTCACAGTACAGTATGACTGTACATGAATAATTGTGGAGTATTGTCTTTGTACTCTATGCTGCATCTGAAGTGGCCCAATGAAATTTAAATGATGTTAACAGGCGCTATGAGTGCTGTTATATTCAGGTATTGTCATATTTATACTGATAAAAATACTCCAGGTTTCTGGAATCAGAAATCAAACTTACTAACACCTCAGTTGAATCAGTGTTTTAATTGTGTGTGTGTGTGTGTCTGTGTGTGTCTGTGTGTGTCTGTGTGTGTCTGTGTGTGTCTGTGTGTGTCTGTGGTCACAGGAAAGCGTCCATTTGGAGTGTCACTGCTCTACATGGGCTGGGATAAACACTATGGCTTCCAGCTCTACCAGAGCGACCCGAGTGGGAACTATGGAGGCTGGAAAGCCACCTGCATTGGAAACAACAGTGCTGTAAGTCTCAGGAGCCCAGTTCTCTGCAACAACTATATTATTTAAAACAGGTTGAATTATAAAGGAAACAAGGAAACCATAAGAAATCTGAATATTTGGAGTCACAGCTTGTAGAAAAATACCAGACCGGAACAAGGTGTATTTGTGTTCAGACAAGAATGAAACTGATGTTCCAGATAGTGACACTAGGGGGCACAGCCGCACAGAGTTTCTAAACACAGTAGCCATGACAAAGACTGGACGTTCACATAAACACACACGCTGTGGCCTACTTCATGCTGACTCCTGGGGCAGCTAATTGTGTAAGTCCCCATTCATGGTGGCTTTGCTAATCTCAGTGGGTTTTTAGCAGGGCTACACACAAAGCATTGTGGGTAACAGAGCCTCCTCAGAGCACTGTGTAAACAGTATTGTCCGAGAGGCCTTAGAGTAAGATGAGTACATGCACGTTTTGCGGTGGTGTCTCCGGTGAGGTAACGCATACCTGATCCTGACAGTGTTAGTGTTGTGCTGCACACAGTGAGCTGATATGAGATCTGGCAGACAGAGAGGAGTCCACAAAAGAGTATACACTTCGGTTTCCAGTTTACATGCAACCCTCAACAGTTATAAACAGATGTGAAGGCCATGTTGCAGGTTCTTCCTACGCAAATGCTGCAGAACTGACAATAGGAGGATGGTGCTTTGGGACTTGATTGCGACTAGAGTGATTCTTACTTTGTCTCTCTTTGTTTACTCTGTAGGCAGCCGTCTCTATGCTGAAGCAGGACTACAAAGAGGGAGAGATGACCCTTTCCTCAGCACTCGCCCTCGCCGTTAAAGTCCTCAATAAAACCATGGACGTCAGCAAGCTGTCTGCAGAGAAAGGTGCGCGTTCGAGTGGTTACAGAAATGTGCAGATAAATCGAGAGTCAGATCTATCATTTTAGAAACTGTAGATGTTTCTTTTCAAGAGAATGGTAAATGGACTGCACTTAACCTAGAACTTTTCTAGTTTCAAAGCGTTTTACAAAGGAGGCCACATTCACCCATTCACACACACACACACACACACACACACACACACACACACACATTCACATTCATATAACGCTTTACTACCATACACACACATTCACACACCAATGATACGTCAGAGGTAATTTGGGGTCCAAGGAGACATGGAAATGCAGGCTAGAGGACAAACAAAATCAAAACCTGCACACGGAAACAATGTATACTATATCAACCTTCTTTTCAGCTGCATCAGATCAGGTCAGTGACTCAGCTCAGGAATATAGCAGCTGAAGATAGACAGATATTTCTCTCAGGAGTTGGTAGAGACCAAAAATGGAGCTAAAAGGAGAGAAAACTTGACCAGAAACACAACTGTAAATTAGTCCTAAAGTTGCTCTGTATCAGGTGACAAAAAGCAAAACAAAACAAAATCAAATGTTGTTGCTTTTAAGGACTTATTGTTAGCCTCTGTAAAGCGTTTGACATTCTGTGTCAGTGGGTCACATTTAGAGGATTTATAGCAGATATTAGAGATTTCTTTCTCTTCTTCATGGACAAATGTTGAGAAACACAAACATCAGCAGTGAAAAACACTGGCATGAGATAAAGACCAGTTACTGTTATCAATGTGGTTTCATTTGTTTGCCTTAAATAAACATGATTGCAAGTTCAAGTTCTTTATTGTCACTTCCACACTTCCACACACGACATACCTGGAAGTGAGATATCATTCTCTACTGCAATATAAAGCAACAAGACACCATAAAATACAGAGTAACAGTCATAATAAATCAACTTCATCAGTCTGTAGAAAGAAACCGAGAAATTGGGCTGGTGCAGTGTGGGTCCGTTCGGTTTGGGCTCTGCACGTGACACGTGGCTCTGCAGCAGGTTCCTTACAGTCTGTGTGTTCTGTCCTTTCAGTGGAGATCGCCACCCTGACCCGCGACAACGGCAAGACCTGCATCAAGGTGCTGAAGCTGAAGGAGGTGGAGGAGCTGATCAAGAAGCACGAAGCAGAAGAGGCCAAAGCCGAGAAAGACAAGAAGGAGAAGGAGCAGAAAGAGAAGGACAAGTAGTGACGCCTGTCCACACTCTGACCTTTGTGTGTGAGAACGAATGTGAGCTTGTGTATGTAAAGATTGAGTTTTCAGGTATGTTTGCATGTGTTGTTTATTAAAATAAATCAGAATAATAAATAGATGACTTGATGGGTTTTTTTTTTTTCCATATTTGCTGTTTTAATCAGTTTCACTTCGCACATGTTTTATTTTGTAGTTTTCTGGCCATAAAAAGGTTAAAATTCTCTTCTCTTGATTCTAAAACGATCTCAGTGGTTAGTGAAAGAGCCACACTGGGAAGCAGAGCTGCGTAGTAAAAGAAAATCTCAATGAAAGATTCACTTTCACTGTTTTTTTTTTGTTTTTTTCAGATTTACAGTTTAAATCAATATGGGATTAGAGCTAAGTGTGTGTTCTGGGGCAGAGCAGATGGTCTTAATGTATTCTGCATGAATTGTGTAATGCATACTTAAAACGGTTACGCAATGATTAATACATTCATGTTTAAGTGAGGCTGCTGGGAGTTTTACTGTGAAACAGGAAGTTTAACTTTGCATCAGGGGTGTTTTCGTCCTGGTTCAGCTGAGTGTGGGTCACAGGAGAGCTCACAGTGACGCCAATTATTTTGGTGGTTATATGGCAATAACATTATAATCGATATTTTTTATTATATTATATTACATTGACAAATAACAACTTTTAAAATCCTTTTTTTTTATTCAGATTTTGTGTGCGTATTTACTTAAATATGAATTATTTTTCTTGGCCACAGCAGGCAGCGTATATTAGCAAAAAAAAATCTAACAATGCACTTCTCTCTGCTCAGCACCAAACAGCAAACAGACAGTTACAGATCAGCTGGTGAACATCGTGGAGCATTTAGCAGCCGAAGAGCTTGATGTTTCCCTCAGCAGGTGGTGGAGACCAAAAACAGAGATAAATATTAGACTTCAGATTGGACTTCTTTTCACCAGGCGAACACAAATGCAACTCCAAATGAACAACCGTGTTGTTCTCTAATTGCAATATCACCTCAAGGTCCATTTAGTCTTTCCGTCATATGGCATGATCTTTACTGGCGGGTGTGTTGTGCCATGTTCAAATTTCAGTAAACAAAAGAACAAAACAGCCACTAAATGGACCGTGCAGTGAGAATACTTTGCCAACTGTTTCCATGGTCACAAATTAAACTTTGAAAGAAGAAGTCCTGAAAGTGCTCAGAAAAAAATGAATTTTGAAGGTCTATGATTCCATGATAAATGGGCTGATGAAGAGATCAGGTCATATGACTGAAAGCTTTTGAAAAGTTACTAAATATTGTAAGATCATTTTGTCAAGTGATGTTTCCAAGAGTTTTGATGATGATTGAGACTTTACAGGGGACATAACTACTGTCTCACCATAAGGTCCATTTAGTAGCTGTTCTTGTTCTGCTTTCAATCATATCAAATGACTCTTATCAGCACTTCAGATTTCTCATCCAGGCTGGTTTAAAAGTTGATAAAACATCACGTCATATGATTGAAAGCTCCAGAATAGCTGCTAAATGGACCTTGTAGTGAACTTATTTTGTTAACTGTTGTTTCTGAGGACAAGGGTGAACTTTGAATCTCAACACACACACACAGCAAAACATTAACATCTATAATTGCATGACAAGAAGGCAACTCCAATATGCTTATGAAGATCATGCGATATGACTGAAAGCTCCGGAACAGCTACTCAATATGGTTTTTGTCAACTGCAGTTTTCAAAGTCAAGACTGAACTTTGAATCTCAACTTTTATGTCAACATGGACGAGAAGTCTTAAAAAAAATATGAACATCTCCATTTGCTGATGAAGATCATGCCACTAAATGGACCTTGCTGTGACATCGTTTGGTCGACAGCAGCTGCCAGGACACTGTTAGGTAATACAGAACATAAACAGAGGGCAGCAGATTTTCACTGGAGCACATTACATCTGATGTGATCTTCAGGCTGCAGTGACAGTGAGGTCTGCTGCAGTGTAAAGTCTCTGCAGAGGGGGATTAGCTGCTGTTGACTGGACGGTTTTAACTCCACTAACTGGGCGCTGGAAACCGAGATGCACGGACATACATAGGCAGTTTCTGAGAAACGCCATGCTGTGAGTGGTAACCGCTTATCAGCCTCAATCTGAGGTGAGTTTATATAAAGTCGACAAAAGATTAAGGCCAGGAGGGGACTATCTGCCTCTTGTCTTTTAGTCTGGGGGATTAGTGACCGCTTGAGTGCCTGACTTTAGATTTTCAATGCACTGTAGTGACAGAAGTGCAGCTTGTGGTGGGGGGAGAGCATGATTACTTATTACACAAGGCTCCAAGCAGCAGGGGGCCCCTCGGATACAACTTCATTCAGTTTACAGGAGACCAGAGACGCATTTTATGAGTGAGAGGTTTTAGCATTAAGTGCCAGAGTACATCAGTGAACTTCTACCACCTTACTGTCCCAGAAGGTCAGTTAGACCTGCTGAGTTAGGTCTTCAGCTGTTCCGTCATGTTGGGGTCAAAGGGTGATTGAGCTTTTACTGTACTGGCTCCTCAGCTTGGGAATAGCCCTCCAGTTAATACTGGGTCTACTGACACTGTCTCGGCCTCTAAATCCTGTCTGAAAACACACTTTCTGTCGACTTCTGCTCTTGTCTGACAGCTACACTTATTTGTTTCCATAACACAGCTGTGTTGTGTACCTGCCAGATTTTATTTTTGTCTTGTTATCATCAGCACCAGCATGTGGAAGAGTGTTGAACACTGTCTTAATGTTGGTGGCAGTAACATGCAAAATGTCCAGCAGTATTTCTAAATAATTTAGGATTTCAAATATTTAAAATCAGCTTGTATTGGAAATGCATCCTACGCATTTAGTCGACCTCAGGGATATACACAGTGAGACTTAGTGAGAAAACATAATGTAAGCATCTTTAATGTGTTTTATATAATGTTGTGTTTTTCTGCTTTGTTGCTGTGTTCAGTTGTGTGGGCCGCTGCAGATTAAAACTCTAAACACTGACTGAACGGCTTCTCTCCTTCAGGAGACAATAAAGTTTAAAAACAGGTTGCTGCTGTATTAGAGAGGCTGATATAGCATCGCTGAGTCCGTCCTGGCCCAGGGGCTGAAAATAGATCTCTAGATCAACTGACCGGGGAGGCTGTTGCAGTCTCTGGCGAGAAGCCAGCGGTGAGCTGTAATGTGGTGTGAGCTGAGCTGGTTGGAGATTAGCGTCTGAGTCAGCGATCGGCAGATACAGTTTCCTATAACTACTGTTCCCATGGAGAGAAAAAAAAGCAATTTCATTTCCTCAAATCGACCTCATCGCCACTGCTCTACCTCAGTGTTATTTCGACTGCAAAAGTATTTTACTTGAATAATTGTAGATATTTTTTAAAGCCTTTGGTTTGGTTTTTGTTTTACATCCTTGTCATGTTTCCTGTTTTGTCCCCTCTGCATGCCTGTTTTCAAAAACACCAAAGCCTGTAATTCAGCTACTGTACGCCTTACGGCAACAAAACATGTGACATACTCCAAATTGTTAGCCTTTCAACTGAAAGAAGAAAGAAACAAACAGAAAACACCCATTTAGATATTAACTTTTATTGTCTTTTTCCCACCCCAAGACAAAAATTTCCAGAGTATACAAGTGTGGATTGTCACTGAATGGCTGCTAACTAGTCACTGAAAACAAAAAATAAATCCCTAAACTATCACAATAAATGTTTGAGAAATATACATACATAAAAATATACCTCTGAGAAAATTCAAATATTGACATTTCCTAACAGCTTATAGTCAGGGCTCAATCAGTAGCAATGAAGACTCATATGATCTGAACACATGCAGAAGAAAAAAAACAAAACAAAAAAACCCCACCCCGTCCCAACCCCAGCATGAACAGACTACCACCATGTTTCTCTGAGGTGTGAAGTATGGCTGGCATGGGGAATGTAGGTTAATAATGCTTTACATACCAAACTAGGTTTAAATTAGATACATTTTTAAAAGCAAGAGGATTTGAATTGACAGCAGACACAGAATGGATTCTTTGGCGTTTTGTTGTTAAGAGTACAAAAAAAGAAAAAAAAAAAAAAAAAACCATTGCAGGATCCCTCCTGCATTTTAACTCCAATTGCATATATGTCAATCACCTGAAGTTCTCTGGTTGTACCCTGTGATGAGCTAATTTCCTCACATAGCATGGGTTTCAATCCACATGGGTGGAAAAAAAAATAAAAGTAAAATGAACACATTCCTTAATAAGACTCAAGAGTAAAAAATATTAACATTGCACTCTTCTCTTTTAGGCACAAAAAGCCCCTTTTCAATCGAGCTTTCAACCGGTGCAGCATAGTATTACTGACTGACTCTACAGGGCTGAATGAAGCTGAACCAGCCCCAGTTTGTGCCTGTGACATCTGACCATCCTGGATAAGAAATTCAACCGCAACTTACAAGGAAACAAGTTGTTAAATGCTGTTAAATGACCGTCTAGGTTTTTCAAAGATCAATGGGTAATTAGTTCTCAAAAAAAATAAAATAAAAAATATCAGATGCTTAGGTCTTTGACTCGAATGTAGAGGCGATAAATGAGATCCACAAACCGGGGTTACAGCTTCACAAGATTTAAACATCATGTGTACATTTTAATGGAAAATATCAGCAAGTGGAGCTTTAAACCTGACCACCTCACACCTGCAATTATTCAGCTTATTATCTTTGAAAAAATAACCTTGCAGGTGTTTGTTTCTGTTTGTTACGTACAAAGTGGAACAACAGTGAGGTTGCTCTCCTCTCCGACGCGTCAATAACTCACACTGGAGTTACTGCAGGAGAGAAGGCGTTACCCCTGTTGCGACATTCAACACACTGCGTCTTAGCTTTGACACATCTGGAGCGACTCGCAGCGTATTTCCACATTTGTGGCAAGATGGTTTTGGACAGATGAAACAAACAAAAAACCAAAGTGAGTGGCATGTGCTGGAATGATGTGTTGACATATTTCAGGAAGAAGTATAAAGAAATGTTTACATGTGCTTTAATGTTAAATGTAACAGATCAGGCTTTCACCCATCTATATTATAAAGCAAAACATTATTTTATGAACTATACCAAAAACCATAATTCCCTCCTTTTACCCCCATCAACACAGCTTGCATGGTATACATTACACAAAGACAAACCAAAGTCTTTTATTTTAAAAGGTAGAAGCTGTCAGATGAGAGATATGCTGAATTTTAATATAAAACCCCCTTCTCCTGAACGTCTAACAGTTGTTTGAGGAACCACCAAGCAGGAAGAAAAGAAAGCCCACATCCCACAGCGCATGTGACGACTTAGTTCAACCTTCACCGTTCCCTTATTTCCCCCCAATCTGCAGTTATCCACAGGGAAGGGAAAAGGGGGGAGGTGGGCGTGTCTGCGTCGCATGGAAATCCTACCACCTCAAACACCCCCTTAAATGACAAGTCTGTAAAAAGGGAAGGGTGACACCTCCCAGTCAGTGATGAAGGCTTTCTGAGGGGGAGGAGGGGTTTGTGTCAAAGCGAGAGAGTGGAGGCGGGTTTGATTGCATGAGTGAAACAAGGATAGAGGGCATGTTTCTTTTAGGGGAGGGGAGGGTGGGTGAGTGAGGGAGGTGTCAGGAGATCATGTGGCATTCACTCCTCGTCTGAGCTGCTGTTGTCCAGAGAGTAAATCATGAAGGCCAGATCAGGCCGGGCCGGTACCATGGGATTGCCCGGCTTCACCATCTCAAAGCCAATGTAGTGGAAAGTCTTGATGATGGACACTGGGGAGAAAACAAGGAGAAGAATGTTCAGTGGTTCTACTGGGATCACATGACCAATAAAACCAGTCTAATACACGCAAGATAAACCATTTGTGTACATATTCAAGTCTGGATTGGCAACCAATCATAATAGTTTTTTGGTTATTTGTTTAACTGCAAATTTGTGCCACTAAAATATAAACTACGGGTTTATATCACCTAACTACTGAGGCCCTGGACTCCAACACCTGTACTGGTCTGCTGTTTTAGTTCAACATTTTTTTCCCCAAGAGTGAAATGATTGACATCAACATAAAGGCTGTGTGTTAAGAAGAGCTGCAGCTAGGAGATGATTTGCTCAGCATAAAGCCTGGAAGCAGGGGGAAACAGCTAGCCTAGCTTGTGCACAGTTTAACCTGTTGTGACAAACCCGTTTTGTAGACAAGCCTGAAACTAATACTGGACTTTTTCACCATGACAACATATTCGTTGGACTAAGGTCTGGGTGTATTTTGTTTACAGAATCTTGCGGTGAAAGTGGAGTTGTGTTTTTCAGCATTTGGATATGTGGAGCTACTTTTCTGTTGTGTGTGCTAACCTGCTACAGAATGAAAAACAGCTAATGCAGTGATAATAATAGTGGGATCCTAAAATGCTTTGCACAGACAGAATCGGAAAACTTAGAGCTTTCAAGTAATGTTTTGTTTGTCAAGATTGTGTGATGATCGAGTCTGGTACAGACCAAAACACATCTTAAGAAAGTAGCGATGCCAAGGCCAAAGCATCCCACAGGGAAGACTGTTTAAAAAGGTCAAATTGTGCTCATTAACATGTTCATTAGTGATGGTGATTTTGTTTTAACCACTGATGACTGGGTGAGATGATGATGATGGCTCATGGATGTACATTGTTTTATGTGACCTTGTGAAGGTTTGTTAAGCATGTGTTGTACATGTATTTCTAGTTTCATGTGCTGTGTTATGCTTAAAGTTCAAGTCTGTCTGTGTTTTGACTGTCACCTGTCACCAAGGCGAGAGTCATGAGTGAGTGTCACGAGTCATTAAGGAAGGTTTATAGGTGTTTAGCTCTGCTTCCAGCCTTTATACTAATCTACACCTGAGTCCAGCTCAGTTAACAGGAACCCAACAGCAAACGTTAGCCCTGGGGCTCCATAACTGGTTAATCTAGCCGTGTACATACTTTCATGTACACTCTGTAAAAATATCCATCATGCACCTGGTTACAAGTATTTGTAGATTCGTATCGAAATAGGTTGTGAGAAACAAACCTTGCCTCAAGAAATACATAGTATTTAAAAATAACAGGAGCTCTTACATCGATCCTCTCTGTTTTTATGGAACCACAGGAACACATAGTTAACTTTGAGCTTCTCTTCCGCAAACTCGAGCAGAGCGGTTAGCCTGAGGATGACATGAACACAGAGAGAGACAGAGAGTCAGTCGGTGAGCGAGGGGAGAGGGGACTGGCAATGACGCACACAAAGTTTTTTTTTTTTTAATTTTTTTTTTCTCTTTACATAAGCACTGCAACTTTACATAATAATGCAGTGGCAGCTGTGAAGCTGGCTGCTCATTGGACCGCCTCTGTGACCACAGCAGGCAAGGTTACTCTGTCCTGGCATCGATTACAGCCACACACAAAGCTAGGCAATGAAAACAAAAACCTACTAGCAGCCTCTTTAATTTGTGGCACACTGGAAGCCTTGAAACACATCATGATGACAGCCTTTCATACACAGTTTAGACCCACATGGTGAGCAGATTTCCACTTAAATGCTCTGGTAGCTGTCTACCAGAGCATTTAAGTTTGACATGGTTATTTCAATTTAAACACAGTTCATTCCTGATACTGTGGGAAAACAATTCATGTTAACATAAGTGATGGTTGATTTCAGGACTAAATGGGAGAAGCCTCGCCTAGAGGTGCTGCAGCAACATCAAGGAAAACTCAAATACTACTAATAAGTATCAAATCTCCCCTTGTGAGCTTGAGAGGTGGATCTAAAAAGTTGGCAGAAAGACAGCAGTTTTAATGAGATAGACACGCAGATGTCAAAAAAAAAATAATAAACACACAAACACATCCCAAAATGTCCATATAAACTTCTCAAACTACTCCTGCCACATACTCAATTTTTCCACTATTGATCTATGCATTTCAAACACTTTCTCCAACAACTAAAAACTTCCCTCCTGGCGTTTGTGAGATATTGGCACAGAGGTATAAAAAGTTACCCTGCAGAGACTTCATTGTAAATAAATAGTTTTGTTCTTCACTATTTATAATACAGTCCTTTTACCAATTAGATCAGGAGATAACAGCATGGGGATTCATGTCACTCAGGGGTCTTAACACATCCTTACCCTTCCTTGCTCCCCTCCACCAGTGGCCCGGCAGGGATCTCCAGGAAAAGGCTGTCCTCTGATAGAGCCGTATCCCAGAAGGCCGAGCGGCGCTCACTCAGCTGGTAGTGGAAGTGGAGAAGAGAGGGGTTCCCACTCACTGAAGCGGCCTGCGTTACTGTTAACTTCTCATCCTGAATTCAAACAGGGAGTACATTAGTTAACTGATTTAATTTTATTCTTCAGCATCAACACTAAGAATCATTTGGCTGGAGCAAATGTTTGACCAGCAGAGGGTCTAAATACAAAGACCTTTAAAGGACCAAATCCATAATTTGACCATATGGATTTGAGCTATAGTCACAGACGGACTGGAATTGTTTGAATTCTAAATAGGTTCTGCATTTTGGCTCTTTCACAACTGATGACAACTCAGATCACAGACATGTTTACCCTTCTACATCTTCTAAAAATAGTAATGTAGTTAATATAGACTAAATTGTTGTCTGCTAAGTTTAAAGAACATGTCACCCAACTTGTAAGTGACGGAAAGTTCAAATCAGAGATTAAACCTTGTTGTTAGGCACGATATCAGTGGTGCTTTAAAAATCAGATAAGTAGTTAAATGACGAGTTTGAAGAAAGTGCTGTGCATCTCAAAGCAGTGGTTAAGTGAAACATAAAATGAGGAAGTGGTTGTGTTTGCTTGGGTATGTTGAAGAAGCAGTGCGGAATGTCATCTCTGCAGCAGACAGATCCTGTACTGTAACTGATGAGTGGTGCAACATAACACTTCTGCTTTTATTAACCTGCAGAGAAACAGATCTTCAGATATTTTATCATGCATTTGGTTTTACAGCTGGTGATAGCTGGGCATGAGTGCTGTGGTGGTGATATCTAAAATCTAAATGTGTAGCCTGTTAGTCTGGTGCATTATGTTACTCCTTCTAGCAGTTCTAGCATTGATAGTTGTCTGATAATTTGGATGATTGCAGCCAAATGTCTGTGTTTACTGGATCTGATATTGTTTTAGACACGCAATTGTCATGTAAATACTGAAGCAGATATGCAAATCAAGTTATACTGCATTACATAAGTATTTCACCTTTTCTAAAAGTAAATAAAAGTCTATGTGAATATGTTCAATAGCAAGAGCTTGTCTTCAGTTATCTGATAAACTGGTAACGTCAGAAAGGGTTTTTTGCTCACTGAGGACAGATGAGGACCTTAATATGACAGTTGTGACTGATCTGTCTGATCCTAAATCTCTAATCCCCCCGGGACAGTCAGTCACATGTCTGGGGTACAACTTGACGCACGCACGCACGCACGCACGCACGCACGCACGCACGCACGCACGCACGCACGCACGCACGCACACACACACACACACACACACAGTAGAGAGGAACGCAGCAGTTTTAAGTGTAGGCATTTACAAAATAGAGAAATTTACCAGAGAACAGCACAATTTTCTTATGTTCAGTCAGGGATCTCTGTATCTTTTTACATGTTACATGAATGAATTTACATCATAAAATTTGAATGAAAAAACTCATGCGTTAAATCCACTGCAGGTGCAGATGATGAGTAGGAGTCAGATTAAAAGTATTTTTAAGCTTTAAAAAAACAGCAACTTTGCAAAATGAGGGCACAACTCATTAACAAGGTGTTCCTGTGTTTAGTGCACTGAGTCAGAGTGGTCCCTGAGGGATGAAGCACTTAACACAATGGTTACCAAAAGTGCTTACAGCGAATAGAACAACACGTGCCAACTCTTATTTTTCCTATCATTACCCTGACCATTTCTTTATTTCTAAAATGTATCTGGATTAAAAGCCTTTAAATAACAATATGGGACAAATATTTCAATCACCCAACTTTATTAATAAAGTTTAACTAGAAAGTGTGACCTGTGTGTACGTCAGTTAATGTGACACCTTGAAGCCTGATATTTCCCATTGTTTTAAGATGAGCAGCATTTTGCATTATATGTTGCACATTTGCAGACGTCACCAGGAAGATTTATGAATGTTGGACTACAGCCCTGTGAGTGTGTGTGTGTGTGTGTGTGTGTGTGTGTGTGTGTGTGTGTGTGTGTGTGTGTGTGTGTGTGTGTGAAGTCAAGGACAATCACCTTGTGTAGTAGCACGCCGAGAGAGTGATCCCTGACAGTCCCTCGCCCACCCGGGATCTTCAGCTGTGGGTGAGGGGCATCAGGAACACCACAGAGGCCCTGGAGCCTGAGGGATGGAGCTGGGCAGCCGAGACCCCGCTAACCAGGAACTGTATGGAGAAAGATTAATCGTCAGTGTTTCAGATTGTCTCACTGAATCTCATCCTTTGTCCTGCCCTAACTTTAACTACAAATAAATCACTCTTTTCCATAATCTTCTCAAAAATTACTATTACAGTCTCAACAACACAGCCAGTGCAACATCCTCAAACTCTGCACTGTAATGATGACAGTTGTGACAACACTGGGGAGATAAATTATGTCATGTTTACTTTTTAATCCTACTCATTGACTGTTTTTGGGAATAACCTGCCAAACAGAACTCACAATTTAGTCCAGCTGTTGAACTATATCCAAAGGCAAATGAAGACCAATCACTGATTGAAAGTAAAATAAACTGAATATAGTTTTTCCTCAGTGCTGTTTCATAAAAGCTAACAGGTCTCTCAGGGTCCTGGTTCAGTGACTCTGCATTTCCTGAGAAGCTTAAATGAAGAGCTGCATTCATTGTGATAATTACCGGCTGCAAGCTTGCCAAACCACACTGTGTGGACGCTGTTGCTGTTGGCTGCTTCCAAAGCCATTTAGGAGTCCATTTAGTATTTCAGGACTAGGTCAGAATCACTGAAGCAACCTGTCAAAACCAATTTCTTCTTCACCTGAAATTCTAAGTACAGAATGAGTGAAGGAAATCGTTGGAACATGAAAGTCAAGACCTTCTGCAGCCACATCAGGACATTTAAAGCTCTATTTACACTCACAGGTACCCTGTGGAGTTTTTAACTGCTAGTAGCAGCTATGTAGCAATGTTTTTATGAATGAATGAATCCGCATTTTGTTTGTATCATCCATGAGAATATACATGGTCACACACAAACACGCAGACAGGGAAGATAAACACTGCTAGCAAGTAAATGTGAATATAAACAATGCTAGTGCTGCAAATGAGGTTTATTTTCATTGATATTTTTTCAATCAATTGTTTAGTCTATGAAACACAGAACAAAAAAAATAGTGAAAAAAGGCCCACAACTTCCAAAAGCCCAGGGTAACATCATCAAATGTCACTTTTTGTCCGACTAAAAGTCCAAAACCAAAAAGGTATTCAATTCACTATGATATACAATGAAGAAAAGCTGGATAAATGGCTGCATTTATCTAGCACTCTTATCCAAAGTACTGTACAGCTTGCCTCTCATTCACCCATTCACACATCAATGGCAGCAAGCTACCATGAAAGGTGCTGGCCTGACCATTGGGAGCAATTTGGGGTTAATTGCCTTGCCCAAGGACACTTCTTCATGTGGAAAGGAGGGGCTGGGGACTGAACTGCCAACCCTGTGATTAGACAATCTGCCCTATCTTTTAACACATCAAATTTTCTTTGCAAATGACTAATGTGGAGGAAAATGCTCTCAACAAGTTTGCTCAACATCAAGAATACACACAATCCTTTTTGTTGAAAAACACTGACTGGAAACAGAACTTTCATGTTTCTAAGAAAACTCCACAAGGCATGTTTAACTCAAATAGAACCAAAACTGAAAGACATGAAGTCTAATCCTGCTCTGCTCCTGATGTAAACCTCTAAGCTTGTTGCCTCATACGCCCACAGCCCCATGCTGACTTCATTAAGCATGCCCTTGTAATTAGCAAATACAAAACACCTGTGGCAACATGCCCCACCTCTGCAGTACAGAGGACAGCCAGAGGGATTTAACATGATTATACTGTTTGCTCATTTGTTAGATCCATTTATGCAATTTTATTTTAACATTTTATTCAAACCTAACCTGGAATAAAGCGTACAAAATTAAAGCCCATGATTTATAACAGCATTCAGAAACTTCTTGACGGGTTGTGCGTGTGGTGGAAGGCATGTATCACGAACAAGCACATGATCTGTAAACACCTCTGCAAATAGCTTACAAGGCTTTCGGGAACATACATCTTCGGCAGTTTGAGTTACAGTCAAGTATCTCAAACCAGACATTATGGCAGCTGGCCATCGCTGCCAGGCAGGCTGCTGAGATGGGCTTGGACCTGAGAGCTGGGGACTTATTTTTTTTAACTTTGGTCTTTTAGATGAGAAAAAATACCCTCCCCTGCCTTGATCGGTTTCGGTTAGCACCTGTATTGAAACCTGACACCTTCAAACATTCTTGTGTCTGAAACTGCATCAGGTAGAAAGACTTGTTTGTGAAATATACTGAGTCATGTGCCAGAGAAAAACATCAGCTACAAGCATCTGTTTTTGTGGGAGGGAAGAGGTGTGCCAATGTTTCCCTGCCGACCAGGCAGGTAACCTGGATGACCTGATCTGCATAGCTACGAGCCAAGAGAGTGAGCAATGGAAAACAAAGCTCATTGTGGTTGGCTGGTTCACGTCACAGCAGCAGCAAATGCATGCAACCTTTCTCCACTTCATCACTTCTTGGTTCTTAACCAACAATGAACTGATGAATTACAAAGTGGAGAAAGCCTTGACCTCGCCTTGGCCATGATTTCTTGTTTAAATAACAGCTGTCTTGTAATTTGGTGACCTGTACCTGGAGCTTACCCGAGAGCTTCACTTAGTGCAGTGGTGAAAAAAGTATTCAGATCCATTAGAAGGAGTTGCAACAATTAGTCAATTAATTGATTGACAAGACAATTAATCTACAACTATTCTGATAATCAAAGTTTAAAACATTTTTTTTGGAAAAATGCCCAAAAAAATTGATGCCTCAAGATTCTCAAATGTGACAATTTGATGCTTTTCTTGGGCTTAAAAAGATAAAATGGAACTAATGGAACTATGAAAATAGTTAGTTGCAGTCCTAATAAAAATATTTCAAAATGTATGTAAGTACAGTATTTTGGCGCTGTTACAACCCACTACTGACTGACTGAACAGTCTGGAGACGAAGAATCTACTGAATACCAGATGCATGAAAAGATGCAGTCACAGCAGGTGTTGCTACAATATCTACCAAAACCTCCTCTAAACACAGTACAGTGTGGGATGAGGTGAATGTTGGCAGTGCATCATTAAAACAGTCGAGACGGTAAGAGTTTTCTCTTCATTAATATCACAGAAACAAAACTGATACTGACTGTATGTAGGACGCAGATGGAGGAAGAGATAAGCAGGCTTGCCAAGATGTCAAGACCTGCTTCTCTTTTTCCACCTTCCCCTGCAGAGACAGACAGAAGACCCTGTCCTTGATGGAAATGCCAGCTTGTTTTGAAAGGCAACACTCTCGTCCTCTGACATTTCAGCCACACTCTAAGCACCCCGTCCCACCCTCCTGTCCCATAACGCCACTCCAGCATGAGAGCTATAGCCCTCAGCCCCCCAATAGGTCACAAGGTCACCCTAAAAACAGAATATAGGTTACATTTTTAAAGAAGGTGAATTTGATGGATGAAACAGACTCTGTGCGAGCCTTCACCGATGTGAAGGCCCGAGTGCACTCACAGACCTGGGCTGTATTAATAGGCCGATGAGGATTTAATCATCTGTGTGTTGCAGTGAGAGTAAAAATGCCAAGTGCGTCACTGTCTGATTGTGGCAGGAGGGGTGAGAACGTGTGTGTGTGTGTGTGTGTGTGTGTGTGTGTGTGTGTGTGTGTGTGTGTGTGTGTGTGTGTGTGTGTGTGTGTGCTGATGTGGTGTGTTGTGTGTGCAAGAGAAACATTTTTTTTTTTTTTTTTATTCAAGGATGACCGCTTCCACTGCCGGTTTGCTCTTCCTGAGCTGTGAGTTGTTTTGAGAACCGATTCAGGTGAATTGTTTGAGGGGATGAACGACCCGGGTTAGCTGGCTGCTGAGGCAGAGTTTGGCCAACAGCCAAGAAACACACGACTCAACCAAAACAGGAAGCTCTCTGGCAGGTCCTCCAAGAACACCGAAACAGACCAAACCAACTTCTAACACTGTATTTACCAGCTTAGTAATGGAAAAAGACTCAACTGAAATCCAGCCTGTCAACACAAACAAGCTTAATGCCCCCCCACCAAAAAAAAGAAAACCTGCGGTGAAAATGATTTAGGCTCGAGACAAACAGCACGTTGCTGCATGCAGGAAAGTAAACAGGAGAGTCCTAAGTCCTCTTCCGACCCCTGGAAGTTTAGCAGAGCGGCATGTCGGAAAAGATGTCGAGACAGAAACAGGAAAGGCACACGTGCCCTGAAACCTGAGTGTGGATGGACGTATCCCTGTCAAAACACATTGCTCTGACCCCTGGACCAAAACTGTGGCTGTGCATGGCTGGTAAGACACACTGAGGATCACAAAAACAACCAAACAAGTGCACATAACCAGAAAATCTAACTGCTGCAGGATATTCAAATAAGTGTTAGAGCAAATAAAAACGCTCCTTTTGGTACTCTGCAACTTTGTATGCAGGATTAAAAACCACGTGAACCATTAATGTCTGTACAAAATTTCATGGCAATCCATCCAATAGTTGTTGAGATATTGCAGCCTGGACCAAAGTGGTATTATGACACTGCTATTCCTTTGGGAGAGTAAAATAATTAGTACTTGTTATAATCATCGTAAATCAGTAAAAATAGAGGCCATACTGATCAGAAAACCACCAAACTGTGTGAACAGGCAGCTCTAATACAGCATACATGGCAATTTTAAAATCACCTCTTACACATATTTGCCTCACCCAAAACTAGTTAAAAGGATCCAAAACCTGCACTGGTTTAATTTAGCACAGGTTCTGTCAGTACAGGCATACTTTGTTAACCCTGGGGCAACAAAAAAAAAAATAAAGTAAATAAATAACGTCATGATTATTGATACGGCATTTGAGCCTACATGTCTATTGCCTGTTGTGAAAACATTAGCTTTGGCGAGAAACAACATCAACTTATTTCTCCAACAGCAGAGAGGGAATGTCTGGCACAAAACCATCTGTGGAGGCATTTGTGCATTGGGTGGTGCACCAAATTAAATGCCTGCCTTACTGTATTTCAGCAGATGACACCAGCAATCGCCTATGCTGCTGCGGCTTACAACAACAGTTGGAGAGTAACTGAAAACAGACTTGGTTTTTTAATCTGTCTATGTTAATGTTGGAGTGAGAAAAGTGAAAAGGTAGTATCAGGTCCCATCATGTGGGAAAATAGTGGCCACTGACAGAAAAAGAGGATAACTATGTTATATTTAAAAAAGTTGAGTTGCTGACAATGGCGCCATGACAGAAAAATTATTATTTTCATTATCAATTAATCCAGATTGTTTTCCCAATTAACTGTTTAGTCTTCACTGTTTTTTAATGTCACCTTGGACTTTGGGAAATTTGTATTTTTTTGATTGAAAATGAAATTAATGATTAGCTGCAGCTCTAAAATGGATCATTTCTGTATTCTAGCTTTTATTTCTAGTGCAATGTGTTCATTTCAAGCTTGTCTGCTACTCACTGATCACTTGTACGTGCATGCTAGCGGTTTACATCACAGCCTCGCCTGTAGTCAACTTTAATAGCTGAGGTTGACAGTTCCAGGTGCCGGTTGAAACTGGTTGGCACCGTTAACGTTTTGGTTTCATTATGGAAAATTCAACAGCGCTCTGATCCAAAATCTTCCAGCAACCACAGCAACCACAGCAGGGATCAGTCTGCCAGTCACTTAAAGAGGCACTTAGTCACACTCAGGTAGGTCAGGTTAGATAATCCAACTGTTTCTGAGTGAATGCACCTCTGTACTCTTCACACACACACACACACACACACACACACACCCACACACACACACACACCCACACACACACACACACCCACACACACACACACACCCACACACACACACACACCCACACACACACACACACCCACACATACACACACACACACACAAACATATTTCATTGATGCTTGAGAAGTGAACCAGCACAGGGAAAGGGTGGGTGGGGGGGGTTATGTAACTGGCCTGATGTAGGCCAGTAGATGCCTTTAGCTGACAGGGCCATAACAAGTCAGAGAGCTAATATAGTCACAGCTCTGGCTCACAGCATCAATGGGCCGCTCCCTTCTCCTCTCTGCGTGTCAGATGATAAACCCACAGAGGACAAAAACAAGGCTTATCTCTCCGTTTCTGTGCAGAGCCAGACACCGAAAAAACACAGGCTACAATTTAACCATGCAATCGCTCTTAAAAATGTTTATCTTTGGCCCACCTTTTTATCACTTCTCACACTAAGAATAACTATCAATTGATAAAAAGACATATTTACAACCACAGCAAAACCAAATCCCTATAGGACTGCCCAGCTGTTGCAATAGGAGAACATCCAGTGCAAAATACAACACAGCAGTATAAGGTCACAACAAAGTCACTACTGGATTTCGCAGGCACAATGTAAAAGAGGTGAAAAAATAGGAAACATAGAGGTAATGACATGCCACTGCTTGGTTCAGTACAGTGCACATTGGTGGAAAACTTCAAACTTTCACATATCAATATCAGTATTAAATGATAAATAGATGACCAAAATTGTGGTCATCTGATTTTCTGTTCATCAACTAATCCATAGTCAACTAATCACCTCAGATCAAGTTATAAGGAGTTTTTCTCCAATAGGTGTTGAATAACTTATGATTTAATTTCTTTAGTGATTAAGTGATTAGTTGATTAATCAATTTGTATATCAACAGAAAATTTAATTTCAACTTTTCTGATGTCCGGTTAATCATCCAAGTCATTTATCAAGCAAAGACTGGCGTTTGTCTTTTCCAGTTTCTGCAGCTTTTCTGTTTAATATCTTTGAAAGTGACATAAAAGGATAGGCATTTTTACTACTTGTAGGAATTTTGCAGAGTAAACAAGTAATCAGTTACTTGAAAAAATAACCCTACAGATTAATCAATAATGAAAACAATGGTTAGTTACACATCTAAATTTGCAGGATCCCAGAGGAAATTGATTATTCAGAGAAACATGCCCTAATGGGATATAAACTAGAAAATGACTTTAGAGCTGCAACTATTAGTTGGTTAATCGATTATTCAGTTGAAAGGAAACAAATGAGCAAATATTTTTGATAAATTGAATCTTCATTGTTAGTTGTTTTTTTAAAGAAAAAAATCTGTTTCAGCTTCTCTAATGAGAATATTTCTGATTTCTTTAGTCTTCCATGATTAAAAAGTGTATGTCTCTGGGTTTTGATGTGTTGGTCAGACCAAACATGACATTTGAAGACATCACCTTGAGCTTTTGGAAATAGTTTTTTTGACATTTTCTGACATTTTAGAGACTAAAGGTCTACTTTAATCGAGAAAATATGAATAATAGTGACACTAAGCTTGTGCAAATAGTTGCAGCCCTGAAATGGGCTCTGGCTTATGTCACTTGAAGTTTGTACCGGTAATACATGTTAAAAGTTTTAGTAAGTTGTACACTTTGGAAAAAAATGTTATCAAATCGTGCCTGTTGCATTGCTTTTCGTGTCTCATAACAATGTTTGGGAACTCCTGTCTCAACTGAACCTCAGCATCCAACCCAATACGTGCCGAGACACTGAAATACCACACCACAGCCTGTTTTGCATTAAGATGTCATGTCATGTCATGTCTGTTTATAGCCTCTCGGGATCTGTCAGTCTGTCATTTCTTCATTTTTCTCCGTTGTTTTCCTTCTACTTTTCGAGCTTCCTACAAGCCAAACTATTTTAAAAATTCCGACACTTAAAAAGTTGACCTGAAACCAACTGAAACAAACAGACAACATGAACAAGAGCAACTAACGTCAACAACAACCGTCAACGTCTGTTCGTGAGGTTTCTAGAAGAATATTAGCTCCTACCTTTCCTCGGTGTTCAGCATGATAGCTTCGAGGAAACACGGATCTTTACGTCGTTTTTCACAACCAAGACAATTACTACTCAACAAAAACTCCACAGAAAAGTTCACCATCCGTAAATTAATGATAAACTTTGTAAGAGTAAAAGTCTCTAGAGCAGCTGTATATAGCGGAGAAGCACTTGGACACAGAGACGTACAGCAGCCAGACTGCAAGCTACGGCCGGAGCTATGGCGTATTTATAGCTGCAGCTAGGCATCATGGGTAATAACGTCACAGTGTTTTTTTATTTTTTATTTTTTACTTAACAGGATAAAGAAAGAAAGTAAACAAACTGACAAAACGGATAAATCTCTTAAATTGACATATATGAAGTATAATGTAACTTAATCACTGGCAGTTTTAAATTATTGTTATGTTACAATAACATTCATAGGCTTACACTCAAAAAACGAAAACAAACACTGGCTCAAGTATTGTAGGCATCCACACTGGGCCCCTTCTTTACATGGATGGATTACTGAACAGGTTGAGTATTGTAGTTTAAATATATGTTTTTCCTTTCATAGTATTCAGCCCCCTGGGCCTGTGTCCCAGGGTTAGTGGGGTTGGGGGGCTGAGTCAGAGCCTTTGTTTGAAGAGATGATTAATATTTCTTGTGAGAAAGTCAGTCAAACACCTACACAAAGATGCATATTGATGAACTACAAATAGATACAAAATTATCACAAATAGAGGCAAACAACCATTAAGATACCCAAAACAGCCACAAAGAGACTAAAAGTGCTTATAGAAAACCACAAAATGGCCACAAAGAGATGAAAACGGGCACAGAGTGGCACAAAAAATTACTACAAATGACGACAAAAGGGCACAAAGCAGCCAAAAAGTGATGCAAAACAACTACAAAGAGAGGCAAAACCTCCACAAAGGGACAAAAAACAGCCACAAAGAGATTTAGAATAGACCTAAAACAACAACAAAGAGACACAAAAGGACTACAAATCTAGCAATACCACACTATCAAAATATACTATTACAAGTAAAAGTATAGAAGTATTAGCATCAAATTTTACACAACATATCAAAAGTAAAAGTACTCATTACGCATTTGTGGTATTTATACTTATGCAAAGTTCTTGAATACCTTTCCTATCCAAAAAAATCCTTGATATTACTGTTGAGTACTGTAGTTTAAATCCATGTTTTTCCTGTGATAGCACTGTGAGATGTTCTTCAGTAACATTCTTTACATTTTGTGTTTCTATAGTTCTTTACCCTGAAGGATTAACCTACTTTCTTAGCTTTTTTCTCCCTAAATCGCTGCACTGGAGGATTATATTATTCAGGCCTGAGTGAAGTGCTTTGCATACAGACCCTTTTTTTTTTTTTTTACTGATTTTGCCAACACGTTATACACAGTATAAATACAGTCTAACCATTCTCAGATCAAACAAGCATTTTTTCTTTTTTTTTTCACCTGAGATGTCAAAGCAACCCTCCCTCTTCTCTCCCAGTCTGTTTATAATCCCCGGCTCCAAAATGTTATAATTACTTGAAGATGACATGTTTTACCTGTCACCAAGTTCCTTTTAACTCAAAATCATATTAATGCCTTATTGCATAATGTCTTAAGATGTTGATTTTTTTAATCGTATTGCAAAAACATCTCAGTTTGATTATTTAATGGATTAAAATACTGAATCATTTCTCTGAGTCTAGCTGATTTACAATGGAGTTTCCAAATTCCTGCTTCAGAAATCCTATCCTCAATCCAAACAGTTACCATTGTTGTTGTGTGTTTTACTTAAAATGTCTGTGGACAATCAGAGAAACAGGAGGCCGCATCAGACTGAGGAAGAGAAACTTATGTTGCAAGATTCATTTAGTAAAGGAAACACTTACAGACTAAATATGATCTGAAAGTATCGTCAAGTCTGAAGCAAAAGTGCCCTATATCCTTTAAATGTGGGGTGATGGAGGTAATAGCTTGGTCCACAGTGGGTAGGATCAAAGAGCTGCCAAACACAAACCAAACAGTTGCACGTTGGCCTGGGGTCTCCTTTTGATAAATCAGGGCCCTGGAGCTGCTTTTAGGGTCTGGATTCAATGCAATGACACCCATCTCTCCCTGGCTAGGATCAGAACCCCCCCCCTACTACTCCAGGATGCTGCAAGATGGCTAACCTTGACCTCTTACCTCTCTGGAAAAAAACCTGAATAGGAATCAAAGTGAACTAGGGAGAGATATTTGAAAAACAAGCTTAATTCACCTCCTGGGAGTGACCACTAAGCCCTGTTCTTCCTCTGAAAGTCTCCAGCTGTCCCTTGCAGTGGTCAGCTTTTGGCCCATACTCTCAGTGTGAATCTGAACATAGACACAGTTATGTAAGGAGGAATGGAAAAGAGCCCCTGTGCCAAACAGATTATCAGATTAGTAACAAGATCGCTGGCCAGCTACTTGATCCTGGCACATCGCAGCATTAATGCTGGCGGTCCAGCTTGCCTGGGTAAGCAGGGGACATGGGCGTCAGTGCCACCTTCCAGTCACTATGGACCAGTAGCTTCATGATGTAACAGTGAGTGAAACCCACTGAAGGAGTCTGTGTCCTGTAACTGAGGTTAGCAGTGTCCAGCTTGTACTAAATCTTCTTGGATTTCTTCCTCATACCTCAGTCTTCTCGAAATTCAGAAATCCTTCCTGAATCTTAATGCATCGTTTGATCTATGTCAGGGACTGAGCCAACAGGCCAGAGAGACACACACAGTTGTTTAAAAAAAAAAAAAAAAAATTCATTTTTATTTACAAAAAGCAAAGTGCCAAAAATATTTCTGACAATAATCATGGGTCCATAAGGGAGGTCAACATAACAGAACTAATCCCAAACACCAACACAGCAGCACAAACACAGTGGCTGATCAGGCTGATCAGACAAATGGGGGGGGAGGGGGGGGGGGGGGGGGGTACAGCGCTACATAATATTAAGTAAGGAGAAGTAATGAAACATCTATATGAAAAACTCAGCTGTCATTGAAATAATAACAAAAATCAAACTGCAAAACATGAACATGGTCCAGTCCAATTGGCAATCAAAAATATACTAATATGTGGATTTTGGAGAGGAGATGTAACTCATCGAGGAGACGTGGGGTATTAATAAAGCAGATAACAAAACGTTGCAGTTGCTTTAACTCCTCAGACCTACTACAGAAAACAGGTAGACAGGAGGCTTCTCTAAACAACTGCCATTGAGTTGCCCTTGAGCAAGGCATCTATCCTCTAACTTCTTAGTCAAAGCCACCCAGCGGCCACTGGTGAAGGACTGTGGTTGTACTGGGATTCTCCCAGTATAAATGTAGTTATCATTGTAAATAAAAAGTTAACTTGAATTAGAAGGTACTGTGGGAACATTTATTTTCAGTGAAGAACCACCAGTCAGTTATTGACATTCTGAGCCTCCGCTCAGCAAAAACTAAAACTAGCAAAGCAAAGAAAAGCTTAAGCTACGTGTCAATAAGATCAGATAGATTTCTGTTAGTGCGCCCTCAGCAAGTCTAAAACGATTCCATCTTTTAGTGAATATTAAAGGTACATATGAGTTGAAAATGTAGGTTTGGGCACTGGATTTTAAGGTTGTTTAGTAAAAGGAAAGTACATACATCTATGGATTTCACATTCATTTTGTCTCATAATGGAAAAAATAAAACATAAATGATATAGACAACATAGAAAAACATATTATAAGGTACATTTGAGGCAATCAGTCAGTCCTGACTTACTGTTACCTCTGAAATACAGACTGACTGATACTTACTGGAAGATGAATGTTTTTACAAAAGATTAACAGGTTCACACTGATGACCTGTCTCTACTTCAGTCTATTAGAGAGTCTATTGGACGTTTTTATTTCAGTCACAGTGAGACTGCAAACAAATGTGGAGACCGAGGTCACATTCTTGGCCTCATTATTTGTAATGCAAAGATATTGTTTCCCTGCTGCCCTGCTGTTTGTGTTGTTTTCTGCTGATGTTTCCACATGAGAAGCTTAAGACTTCAGTGGGAATGTGGCAAAATAGTGAAAAGAAAAAAAGGTGAAAGAAACAAAGCTTTTTCATACACTTATTTATATTTGTCACCTGAAAGTGAGAGGTGTTCAGGGTGGATTTACTTTAACTGAGTTAACTACGTCTCTATTTACTATGGGTAAAAACAAATATTTCTAATGATGAAGAATAAACAGTACAGTAACACATTAAGAGATGACAGACTAATGACTGGATTAACACTTGAATGAAACCATGAGATTGAGCAGTTCATATATACTGTAGGTTTTGACTGTAATTATAATAGTTTATCATTTTCCAGTCTAGGATTCTAATGACATGTATGAAATGGTTCAAGTACAAGTTAAATTTAAATCAATTAAATATAAAGTTTTCAATGAATTCTATTTTCACCATATAATGCTTTATTAGCTTATTGTTTGATAAAGTGTGTAATATAATGTTTCTGATTTCCTTCTTTTAAATTTAAGCTTATTACTAAGTTAAGAATTACATTTTTAAATTTTAAAATGAAAAAAAACATATTTGTTGCATTTTGTAAAAATGTATTTCAGTTGTTTGTACACTCCTTTCTCATTTTTTGGGGGTAGACAGTCACATAGGCCATCAACACCTTTCGTCTAGAAATTGTTTGTTTTTACTTCTATTTGTATTCTTTTATTAAATTTGCACCTGAAAATAAATAAGACAAATCTACAGTCATGCCAGCGACTCTGTGAGGCTGTACTTAGCGTTGGTATAGGTATAGCAATGCTTTTAGCTAAATGTTAACATCAGCATGCTAACATGCTCATAGTGACAATGCTAACATGCTGATGTTTACCATATTCACCATCTTAGTTCAGGGTGTTAGCATGCCAACATTTGCTAATTGGCTCTAAACAGGTTTTTCAGTATTGGAGAAGCTGAACCAGATGATAACACTCCATGGAAAGTAAAGGGATCACCAAAGTTATTACTATTCACCCTGACAGGTGCATCAATGTGTGTACAAAATGTCATCATGATCTATCCAATAGTCGTCAAGACATTTCACTCAAAACCAAAAATGTGAACCTTGTGGTGGCGCTAAAGCCTGTAGGTTAGGATCCTCTTGAATATTTCACTGTGGACCAAAGCGGTAGACTGAGCGACCAGC